TCCAGCCTCACTCAGAGAGTGACCTTGCTTTTGGGTGCCAAGTGAAGCTAGTAAGACAATCAAACCAACACCACCACATTGCATAACGTCCAATATCTGATATCCAGTCACTACTGAGCTCAGTCTTGTTCCTTGCACATCACCCCCTCCAAGACAAGACAGAAAATATGCTGCATATCCTTGCCCTTACAGAGCCCTTTTCATTTTGCCTTGCTTCTCTTGATAACATCTATCCAGAGAAGAACACAGAGAAATTGCTAAGAATAAGCAATTATATATAGACACAGTAATCTATATTTACCCAGAGGGGGGACAAAAAAACATTTATCTTCAAAGAAACTACAAAGAAACATTTCCTGGAACTTTCTGTCCTCACCTGGCATCTCCCACTGGGGTAACTCCTGTTCATCTTTCAAAGTTCAGCTTAAATATTCCTTTCCTAGGAAAACCTCCCCACTTCCACCTTTAGTGGTCCTCTGCTTATAGATTCTCATAGCACTTTTTACTTCCTCACTGTCTTTAGGACATTTGTATTTCTAAGTTATTTGTGTAATTTTTGCTTATTTTTTTTTTCTGGCTCCTAATATAGCCTGTGGACACCATTAGGAACATATATGAGTTGTCAGCAGTCTAACCTGCCTGGCACAGAGTTACTGTCATTAAATATTTGAGTGAAAATTTCTAGAGAAAAACTCTGATAGAAGATACATCTGATTAATTTAGGGAACAAACAGTGAAATACTGGGTCTGAGACATCAGCATTCAAGCTGAGGCTGACCTCACTAAAAACAGTAGGTGAGACCTGATTTATATTTGCATAAATATGTCTGGCCCAGTGCTGTGTTTTTTGTTTTGTTTTGATTTTTCTTTTTTTCGGAACAAAGCCACTACCTGCCTTAAAGATACATTGGAGTCTCCACTCTTGAGTAGAAGAAAAAACATGCAAAAACTTTTGAAATGGCAGTTTTCCCAGCTTCTACACCCATCATGATGTTTAAAATAATAGCTTAGCCTCAGCCAGGGTTTGAGGTTACATATGTTATTTTCAGAACTAATAATGTATAGTGTAATTTCAGCTGTGGAAATGATAACACCTGTATTCATTCCATGATTTACCATTTTCAGAGCAATTTCATGTTGGCTCACTTAATCCTCGTGAGTACTTTTTGAGAAAAAAAAAAAATTACACCCATTTTGCAAGTGAAGAAACTGCAAGCCGTATCAATCACTTGACCGGCCCAAGACCGCACAGCTGAGAACAGTTTGGGGACTGTAGCCCAGGTCTCCTGAATTTAAATCCAACGCACTCACCACGGCTCTCTAGCTGCTGAGTCAACAAGGGTGACGCGGCCTATTTCTATCTTAGTTTTAAATAGATTGTCTTTGGCCTCCTTTTCCAGATGAGAGTCAGTTGGGTTTATCTCAAAGCGGATTCTTTTCTTTGGCTGTGAGCCTTCTTTTTCAAAGGATAATCAGGGTTGGAAAAGATCTCAGCAGTTATTCAGTCCAATGCAACATCCCCACCATGTGGCCGCCCAGCCTAAACTTGAATATCTGAACTGACGGAGAACTCACTCTTGTATGTAGATACATTGGCTTAAGATTTATGACAACTACAAAAAGACTACTATAATCCTCCTTGCTTTACAAGAGGAGGAACTGAGGCATACAAAGTGTAAGCAATTTGCTCAGGGTTACATATCTGTAAATTATAGACTCAAGATTTGACCCTAGAGCCTTCTTGCTAACTAACTTATTACGCTGCCTCCATACCTAAACAGTATATCTCTGTTGCTGTGAATGAGGGCTATAAATCTTCCAAGTATTTTGATGCCAATTTTAATGCACATGAATACGTGTCCACATAGATGAGGACTAAGGAAAGGAACACATTATTTAGAGATTTAGGTTTTGGCTTTGTTCGCAGGACCTGGCTGTTGGCAGGGCAGGATTCAACACATCCAGAGGAAATGTGTTGGCAAAAATGCTTCCTTCTTTAAATGCTCCAGATCAACCCCTGGTGGTTCTAGAAATTATCTTTTCTGGTGTAAGGCAATGATTAAAATCAGGATAGAGATCTGGCTTTATCACAAACCCTATTTAGATGCTAAGGCAGCCCTGCCTTGCCCCCGCCCACCCCAGTTTTCAACGTACCTAACTTTAACTTCGGGTGTGAAGTGGGATGCCTAGTTGTACAAGCTGGAGTAGACAAAACACACCTTTATGTTTCTCAATATCCGAATTCCTCTTAGTTCGTGAGCCACCTATGTTCTTCTGATACAAAAATTTAAATCTTGCAAATTAAGGTAAGTCAGTCATTTTAATTTAAAATCCAACCTCATTTAGGTAACTACTACATTAATTCCATTTCTCCCAGTAGCTCTCCTTTCCTTCTCTTCCCCTGGGGTGGTATCAGGGTGCAGCTGTCTATGTTAGCTACTGGCTCAGGTGGGGCTGGGGTGTGGAGGGAGGTGGGCATAGTGCCCCAGCCCATTGTGTATTCTTATCAGCCACCACTGGGGTGCATTTCATCCTTGCAGGTCTTGGTCACAACCACATCCCTGCTGGGTCTGTATCATCTGCTTGCCGACTCACCATGGCCTCCAATTGTACACACTGTCTCCTTCTTGTCCCAGCTGGAGGGGTCTTTGTATTTGCTAGCTCTTTCAGACACCTTTGAATGCTCCCCTGTGACAGGGCTGCAGAAGACCCCAAGGAGCTTTCTCTGGGTCTCCTTGGAGCTGCTGCTGCTCCACCCTTTGGCTCCTTGCAAAACACAGGGATCCCCTAAATATGACACACACCAAGGCAAGAGATATATCTTCTCAGCTTTGAGATCCTCCAAAATTATTTGAGGTTTTCTACCATCCTTTCCTCCCGAAGTTTTGACCCCGGGAGTAGAACATGAAGTAGTCCCCTTGACCAACCTCACACACACAGACATACTTACATCTCTTCCCTAAGCTTTCCCCATCACCCATGTCTAATGCAGAACTTTATCTTATCATTTCCATGTATAGCTCCTACACAGAACTTAGGTCAGCATTTCGTGTTCACTACCCCATGGTTGATAGCTCAACTCTATATTCTGAGAACTAGAGTTCTTGAAGAGCTAAAATCAACAACAATGACAATGACAAGAGTCCTTTGCAATTTTCAAAGCTGTTAAAATAAGATATTGAATGAGGCTTTTCCTTTTGTCTTGGAATTTTGGTTGAAGCCCAAAACCTGAAAGAGTAAGTACGGTGACATTCTAAATAGAGCACCAAGTTGTTGCCAGTTTGCTCTCCCAGTGCTCCTGAGGATGTTGCCAGAACAGTCTTGCAATCCCCCATCCTCCCATCCCCAAACAACCTGTGCAAATAGGAGACTAGAAATTCCGAGGGAATTGGTTAGAGGACAAGAAAACTTTTCAGTGGTAGTCACACCTGAGACTTTTTCCTTTTCTTGCCCAGGGAAGGGTTCTCCAAGAGAATGATCCAGAGAGTTTTAGGGGCTCAGCAAGAAAGGAACTGGGACCACCCTCCCCACGTAGATGTTACTGAGCTACAAATTCACACGTCACTGGAGGGCAGCCCATCAGAGTTTAGTGCTCTGAGGTCATTCTTATGGGAGGTGAATACAGATGGCCTGGTGACCATAGAATCGGTTGCCTGCTTCTAGCCCAGAAGCAGCAAGCAGTTGGAGCTACCTGAAAGCATGGCAAGGGAACGGGGAAGCCAAGGGCAGACTACCCTCCCGCTGTTTGGTGCAGTGGGATATTTGAGAATGGCCCCCAAAGGATGCTGTGAAAAGCAGCTAGACTTGAACCACCTTTTAGATATCTAATATGGTGTCTTTCAGGGACAAGGGGAAGCCAGCAGCCTGTGGGATGAATTCCCAGGGGCAGAAATTGAGGAGGGAATGATTGACTAACGGTCCAATTGTCAAGGTCAGGAATTCGTGCAGCGATGAGGTTAGATGAGATAGAGTTAGAGGAAGGCAACAGAGCTGATTTCTGGCCACAACTTTCTTCTGTTCCCATACTGCGTAACTGACAAGGACAAGATGTACAGCTGTGTCTCTTCCTCCAAAGCCTGTTTGGAAACCATCCTCATACTGAAGAAGCTTCAGGAAGAGAAGTTACAGCCCCCATCTTCCAGAAGCTCTGTTGGAAAGTTACCTCTGCACCCAAGGACCCAGACAGTAGTCAAGACCTGATGGGCTGCAGCTTCTGAGACCTGGAGTGAGGCGCTGACTGCCGTGCAGATGAGCCAGAAGCCTTCCTGGAGGAGGGGCTGTAGCCAAGAGAAAAAGCAAGGTCGTTCGGTGGAGTGGAAGCAGGCTGGTAACCAAGGGAAACCACCATAAGACTGTGGTTTGATGCTGATCTTAGAGTTGGAAGCAGCTCATAGAACTTAGCAGAGTGAGTGAATCCTTTCACTCTGCTTACGCCAGCTTCCCTGTATTTGCATCCGGCCAGAAGAGCACAGCATGAATCTCTCTCCTCTGTACCTTACCGTTTTGGGTCTCTGGCAGGTCTAATTCTGGTTTCACATCTCTTCATTTCCTCTCCCAGAACATGGTTTTCACAAAATTGACTTTTGCTGACTAACAATTCTCTAAGGCCTGATTTCACTATCATCTAAATAAGAACACTTGATCTGATTCATCCTGGGATTCAGGCTTTAAATATGCCTTTAGAAAAACTGACATTTATTCTGAGCTGACGGAAGTGGGAATTTGGCCTTTTGCCTTTTTATTCCCGCGATCGGTATTAGCTTCAGTCCCTGATTTACAAATATTTGGGTCCTGTTAGGCAACACAAACATTTCAACAGCAAACGACTTCTGGTCTTGATATTTGGCCCTTCCAACTGGCAGCAACTACTCAGAGGCAGTGTTTTTAAAATGTCATTATATATATATTCCCCCACCCCCCGGAAGACTGATAACACTTCCTGTACCAGGAATTGCTTGTTTCCATGCAGTTTGGAGTGTAGGCTGCAGCAGCCGTGGAGCGGGATTGCGGCAGGAGTGTATGGGCCTTGGAAGCTGTCTTCACAGTAAAGGTAGCAGAGAGAGATAGATAATTCCCAGAAGAGATTCATAGGGTGACAGTGGAGGAGGGCGGAGCCGGAGGATTCAAAGAGCTTTCATCAACATTCTGTGAAGACAGACGCTGTTTTGATTTGATAGCATGTATTCAGTCCTGGAGACTTCAAACCCAGGCTCTCTTTATGAAGAAAGAAGAATAGTTCAAGTTCCAGAGAAGGAGGCAAAGAAGCGCTAAATGCCCCCATCACTAGCCGTCGGATTCATTCCTTAGAGTTGTTCTAAGAAATTGCCACAAACTGGGTGGCTTAAAGCAACAGAAATTGATTCTCTCACAGTTCTGGAGGCTGGAAGACCAAAGTCAACAGTCAGCAGGGCCTGCTGGCTAGGTGACTCCGGGTAGAACCCTTCCTTGCCTCTTCCCAGCTTCTGACGGTGGCCAGCCATCCTCAGGGGCCTTGGGCTGCAGGTGCATCACAGCAGTCTCTGCTTCTGTCCTCACAGGATGTTCTCCTTGCGTGTTTGCCTTCTATGGTCTTCCCTCTTCTTATAAGGACAGGGGTCACACTGGATTAAGGGCCACTCTACTCCAGTATGACCTCATCTTACGAATTACTCCTGCGATGACCTTATTTCCAAATAAGGTTACTCTCTGAGGTTCTGCTGGTTAGAAACCAACATACCATTTAGGGACCCACAGTTCAACCCATCATAGCTACTTGAGAGGTTTGGCTCATAAAAATCAAAGAAACAGGTGGCTGGGCCTTCAGAGATCAGCAAATCAAGCTACCTCCTTCCACCCACCTCTCCTGCAGTGGTCCACCCCCAGACATCTGAGGAGTGTGGGCATTCATCTCAGGCTGGATGCATCTTCTCCAAGGCACACATGCTTCTGAAGGCTCCCGGTTTTGTTGTTCAAGTTACAGAAGCAACATGGGATAGATGAGTGGTCCTCAGAAACATACTGTGCACAACACAGAGTAGCTCAGAGAGGGTGATGCAAGTTCTGGTTACTGGGGCTCAAGCTCTAGAGATGCTGGAGGTCATTCGCTTCAGTTGCAGGCGTTCAAGGGGCCACATTTTGAGAAACACTCGAACAGAGAAAAGACTGAATAAACTTAATTTGAATTTTGGGTTAAGTACTAACTGCTATGTGGCTGTAGACAGTAATAAAGCTGTCTAAACTTTGGCTTTTAATTTTTTTTTTCTTTCCTTAATGTGGAAAAGCGACTAACAACACATAATATATGGGAGAATTTTAAGAATTAGAGAGACATCAGCCTCACAACGTTGTAGGGTAAAACAGGCTCTTGCCCTTCCTCATTCAGAAGCACCCTCCTTCTTTCTGAAGTCCCTCTGGGAATCCTGGGGCTGTTTCCCATGTGACCAGGTTCTTATGGGGATCTCTGCAGTGCTACCTCCGCTGTGGTACAATGTCAATAGCCTTCCCCATCCGTGTTTGTTGTCAATTGGTTTGGGCAGAAACCCCTACAGATGCCATCAGGCTGGCTGGAGGGACCAGCCTTTGGCCCACCCGGGGATCCCGGTCAAGTGTAAATCCCTGATGACACTTGGGCATCTGTTCTTGCCACTGACTCTGCCAGGATGACGCTCCTGGGCTGTTGACTGTCACCCCTCAGGGTCTCCTCTCTCCTGCTGTGGCTCCCAGCTCCAGACTTTCCTTGCCAAGTCTAGTTCTGGACTTTGCCCTGGAGCTGCCGTCCACCACTGTTACTTGTTGGAATCTAAGTCTTTGATCCCTGGATGCTTTCAAACTGCTCTTCTAGGTGGACCATCCCCTTTTCACTCCATTGTTCTACCATTTGGGGGCCCCGTGAAGAGTTTTGCTTCATCCCTGAGAATTTCAGTTCTCCTTAGTCTCAGAGCAATCATGTTCTTCTCTAGGAGGAGCAGCTGCTGCCCCGGAGCAAGATGAAATCTGTTGTAGAACCAGAAGCATTACTTCCCTTCAGCTCTCAGGTCTGCAGGCTGAGCTTGGCTAATGGGGTCAGGTTATTTCTGCTCCACAGTTCATTTCTTCTCTAAGGCCATGCACATCAGCCCCGTGGTTCAATATCATGACTTTCTTTGAGACTGAAGACATGCACATATATTTCTGCGCCCCAAATGTGATATAGTTCATATTCTTTGCAAATTTCTCTGCTTGTTCAAATCTAGTTGTTGTTGTTTTTTTTAATTGGATGCCAGAGTCTGACACCTACTTTAAAATTAGGCAAATTCATGCCTTTCTCTGACCCATCGAGGCATTAATTTCTATGCATCATCTAGTTTAAGAGCTTGACACACAGTAGGTGATAAATACATGTTAGTTTCAATGATTTTATTATATATCAGTTGCCTCACTTTTTAAAGTCTTTCTTATATAAAGCCTACGTTTTATCCCTTAGCCTTCATTCTATTTCCTAGGCTAGACAGAATAAATTCATTCCCTCTTACCAATAAAGTTTCGGTTCTTAAATCTGACCGAATTCTATAACCACATTTGTTATGGAGGAAATCCAGAAATTCACCAGCATTGAATATACTCAATGTTATAGTGACAGATCCTTTCCTCTACTTTCCTTTCTTGCCATGTCAGGTCATGGTCTCAGACTTTCTTCTTTAAACAGCTACTTGAACACTACATTGTCTGATTCCTGGGGGAAAGGGGATCTGAGAGACCCTAGGACAGGATCCTGTAGTTCAGTGCTTCTCCAGTTTTACAGTCGTCCAAGTGACCTTGAGGGCATGCCCAGATCTGCTCCCTGAGTTTCAGATTCTGTCCGAGTGGGGCCTAAGAGCATGCGTGTCTAAGATATTCCTGGCGGGAGGCTCCTTGAAACCCACGCTATCGCGGGATCTCTCCGGGCCTATCCTATCTTTCACTGGAAGCTCCACCCACCGCCCGGCTACTGACCACGACTCGCAGCTGACGCTGCGTGGATTCTTCCCTTAGTCAGGCGCTGCGCGTTCCCCTGCTGCAACAGTTGAAGGAAAAACGGGAGAACGTTCGTTTTCAAATCTGGCTTTGCTTCTACCAGGTCGAGTGACGCCGGGTAAGTTACTTTCTGGCTTGAATGTACTTAATTCTGGAGGTGGGAGCAGGGAATATCGTTCAGAGTGGTCTGAAGAACCAAAATGGGAGAGCGTGTGTGAAAATGCCTCCCAGGAAGCAGGCTTTCGATAGTGGGTGCTACGTGAGTCAATGATTGATAAATGCCGTTGCCCATGCAAAAGATGGGCCCTGAAATAAGTGCACAGCAATGGAAATAGAAAGGGGAAGGTAGATTTCACTGATACTGTCAGTGAAAATATGTTCATTTCGCTCAAAATATGTGTTAAGTGAATAAGATACATTCAGACCTGGAAAGTACCTAGAAACGTGCCTAAGCACTAATTTCTCCATCTTTTTAATGAAGTCGACTAATGCACAAACGGTTCAAAACCTTTGTACTCTTAACTTGGTCTAGTCTTCCACATAGCACACTCCTGCTAAGCAGATTGGAGCAGTAAATGTTCAGGTGCTTTCAATCACAGCTTGTAATTAATTTGCCTAAGAAGAAAAATGTGCTCTGGTCTTGAAAGCTGGGTTATAAATCCTGGAGTGGGCGGGAGGGAAGTTTTTCCATGGAAACTGCGTTTTTAAAAAACAATTCAGTTGAAATGAATCATGTTAGTGATTGTGATTTTGAAAGAGTGAAGAATAAAGGCTGGCATTGACATTGGTTGTAGGAAGATGGCAGAAGGCAAGGGAAGAAACATATGGTTTGGGCTGGGAACAGTCTGGGTTTGATTTCTGATTTTGCTACTGATTGGTTGTGCAAAACTGGGTAAGTGATTTCATTTTCCTGAAACTTGGTTGTCTTATGTAAAGATTGAGATTGTCACTGTTTAAAAATTTTGTATTAAGTGTTTCATATCCACTACAATAATACCTTCAACACGTTGTAGATATTATATATAGGGGATCCAAAGAGCTGATTGGACGGTAAAACCAACTAAAGCCATCCAGCTTAAATATTGACTGTAGGAAATTTTAATTTCCCTGATCTCTCAAATTCTGGCAAATTGTAAAGGACCCTATTGCAGTGAATCCATTAAATGAGGTAAAGGGAAAGATACCTCTAGATTGAATATTGGATGCAGGCGCTGTTAGTCTTTAAACGAGGACCCATTATGTTGGCGTGGCTCTAACGTCTTGGTAGATTATGTAAACCCAAACCTAAGCCAGAGTCCGTCCTCTCGATCATGATAAAGAAACTCAAGAACAAGCAATCACAAATAGCCAACTAGGCTTTCCCAAATAATACAGCTACTTAAACTATAACCAATCAAATCATTTATCTGCTTTGCGTTCATGTCTTCTCCATAAAAACCTTGCCCCTAGCTCCTGCTGATGAAGAACTCCTAACCACTTTTGGTTTGGCATTGCCTGATTTGAATCAATGTATATTCAAATAAACTCTTTTGGTGACGTGCAGTGAAAGGCGTGGGGAGGGCATGAGGATTTTGGTTTATCGCTTTGGCATGTTGAAGATATTTGGCGTATCTCCCCAAGACATGATCCCAACATTACATCATATTGTTGGGGAGGAAGAAGTTTTCCTCTCCCCTTCTAGGTTCTTCTGCCTGGCCTGAGAATTAAATTGACATGAGACAGATTAACAGGAGAAAATTGAGCAAAGTTTTAATAACATGTGTACATGGGGGAGACCCAGGAAAACTGAGTAACTTTCCAAAATGTCTGAAACCCTCACCTTAAATAACATCCTCAGCTAAAGACAAAAGAGGATGTTGGGGGTTATGGTTTGGGAGTTCAAAGGGGAGGAAGGCAGTTGGCATGGAGATGGAGAAGCAAATGTTTGGTTTAAGAAAAAAAAAAGGCTTCCCTGGTGGCGCAGTGGTTGAGAGTCCGCCTGCCGATGCAGGGGACACGGGTTCGTGCCCCAGTCCGGGAAGATCCCACATGCCGCAGAGCGGCTGTTCCCATGAGCCATGGCCGCTGAGCCTACGCGTCCGGAGCCTGTGCTCTGCAACGGGAGAGGCCACAGCAGTGAGAGGCCCGCGTACCGCAAAAAAAAAAAAAAAAAAGGCTTGAAGACAGTAAGCTTTAAATTTTGTTGAGAGTATTGGGTGATTCTGTGGGAGAAATAAAGGGTGAGGCTGAAAATGTCTTTTGGATTAGATCCTGGGTGTGCTTGTGTCTTATGATGAGACACACCTGGGGGCCAGGGAAACATTCTAGGCAGGTATCTGGTTGGTGATTAACTCTTAAGGCCTCCTTCCTTGCCCTGAGGCCAAAGCTGACTCCCGTTCTTAGGCCTCTGACAGCAGAAAGCTCTCTGGCTTTTCCCTCCTCCTCACAGCTGTAACCCTAACTTGTCTGCTGAACTTCACCTTTTAGAATTTCTCTGGTTCCTAAAGTGCACAAGGGATTGATGGGCGGGACGCACCGAAAGAAATCCTACTACACAGAAGTTTTCTGAAAAGCTGTAGGAGACAGGCTCCTGGGGTACTAATGACAGCAACAACAGTAGGGAATAAATAAAAGGGGGAATTGGAGGATATTCAGGAGAATATCTATCTTCTATCATAACTGATAGAAAATTGTAACTGGATGTGGGTAGTAAGGAAGATGGACATATATGACTTGTATGCCTGGGTTCAAATGATGACACAAACTAAGGGAATTAATAGACCTGGTTTATTCTTCTTAATTGTGATTTATTTTACCAGCCTTCTCAGGGGAATTGTTCTCATCTGTTTTCCCTTAAGTCCTTGAAACCAGTGAATGGGAAAAAAAGAAAATTGCAGCCGCACTTTCCAATGGATCCTGCTATATACAGGGCAGGACCTCTGAACTCCGGCAAAGGTGCCTCCTTTCACTTGGTGCACTTGGGCAGGTGAGGGGAGGATGTCTGGGAAAGTGGGAAGCAGCGGTCTGATTGATTTTGCCTCCCAACGTATCTGGCAGTAGCTCACCATCTGCCACCACGTGGCATGTCACAGCTGCTACTGCCTTATAATTAGGTTTACTCAAGCCTTGGAGGGGGTCCTGCAGTCGAGTGTGACTGCCAAGTGCTTCCTGCCTCAGGCCTCTTTACCTGTGAGGTGGGTGGAACTGCTGTCAGGTGCCCTTACAAACCAGTTGTAAATTACTTTCCCTGAGCTAAGGTCAAAGGCATGGGAAGAATAGAAAGTGATAACACTGAGGATTTATATAGCCCCTCTCCTACAGGTACTTCACATATATGATCTAATTTGCCCTCCTGTGATGCCTGGGGAACGGAGGGCTTGCGGGGGAGGCCGAGATTAGAGGCAGGTGTGAAGGCTTTGGTTAACAGCCTTGAATTCTCAATAAGGCAGCATGGTTTCCTTCTCTCATTTTTCTTTGGGGTTTGTTTTTATTGGCTTGTTTCTGAAGCTGACTGGTTTTTTGTTTCCCTCTTTCAGTTTGATGGTGAGAATGATTCCACATTTGGTGGGGTGCCTTTGATTCCATTCCTTGAGGAAGTAACACACTGATAGGATACCAAAATGTACATTAATGATGAAGCTACCTGAACAAGCAAACTCTGATATGGGAACTCTAGGATGAGGTTATTTCTGAAAGGAAAATTAAATATTGCAGATAAATAATTATGGCTGGAAAAAGTTCTCAAGATTGATTTTCATGCATTTGCACTCCCCCGCTTGTTATGTGAAGCTCTCCGGTGAATGCAAATTCTATTCCATGCTTCTTCAAAGATATATGGAGGTTTTAAGGGAACCTTTGCTGCTGGTACCCATCTGACTTGTCTAGGGTCACACAGGAAGTTGGTGGTAACTCAGACCGTATCCTAGGTTTCCTGACTTTCTGTAAGACGTTACGGAAAAACGCAGAAGAACTTTTTGGCCAACCCTATACTTGGGTCTCTTTCTCTGCACTTATGTGTGAGGCTACTTCTGCCTCGCCTGAATCTGGCTTTTGTTGCCATTTCCCATACAAAGAAGAGGAAGTTGATGATGGTAGAAATAAATACCACAAAGGCAAAGGAGACCAGTGAAAGGATTAAAGGAATGACACAGGGGAAGAGATGATACGAAATTTAATCTGTTACATGCAGCTTTGGGCAAAGGAGAGAAAGGGAGGGCGACTATGTACAAATCGTACAGCGCTGGAAAGGGAGGGTTTGGGGAGCCCAGACCTGGCAATGGGTAAATGAGTCTAGTCAGGACATGGGCTCTCAGAAACATCACCTGGGAGAGGAGCGGGCTAAAGACAAGGCAAGCAGCATTCAGTAGCAGTAACCAAGAGTAAGAAGAGACCTTAAGGCCGTGGTTAAGGCCACCCTAGAGACTTGATGAGCAACATGTGCGTGATTTCCAATTGCAACACCCTTGGAACAGAGTTGAGTGGAAGGAACTGCCCCAGGGAAGATTATAACCTACCCATGGTGCCATGAGGGAAGGTAGTTCTTGCAGCTGTCGGTATCCAGCTGATGGAGGTCGGAGGGCCTTTCCTGTTTTCAGGGCTGCACTAATGGAGCTCACTGGTCTCCCCACTGTAGACAGGTATTCTGGAAGCTTGATCCTGCAGGCAGGTAGAGAGTGTGCTATCAAACAACTGCGTGGAGCCCTAGTATTTTCAGAGACAGGTTTGACATAAAAAGCTGATATATATTATTTGATAAACCTAATCTAGTCTACATTTCCATCACGTTCTTAAGTCACAACTTCAGAATACAAAACGCGGCATACTGTTTATGCCTAGCAATGGATACGTATGTGACTACCATGGTTCCTCCCTGGGACATCTAAATTTCCTGAATTGGACTTCATTTTAAAGATAAAAATTGTAAAATGTCAGTGAGTTGCATAAAATGCTGCAAGCAGAAGAAGTCTGGGGCATCACCTGGAGCAAAGCCATCACGCAGGTAAGGCTCAGAGTTCTGTCCTTTACACCAGACTGCGCAGCAAGGGAGGCGAAGCTGAGTTTGGGGAGTATTCTTCTCACCAATTCACGGTGCCTTCTTCTGCTTCACTTGTTCTAGCACGGGCTTCCCTTGTTTGACAGACCCAGGGGAAGTAATAACTAAAACGATGCTGTTTTAGTTAAACACCATAGATTCATATTTTGTCACTATCGTTCTTTTCGTCTCTGTTAGTTCTTAGTGAAAATTGTAATATTCAGTTTGAAATTGAAACTACCCAATTAGACCTACAGTACTGTCGATGTAATTGTTCAATAGTAGTGTGATTACTGGAGGAATATGGAGCTGTTCTCATTAACTGGATGCAAAAGATAGAGTGTGAACACAAAGCATTCCCTGGAGTGAGTTGCATTGATTTGAGAGCTCTGTTGAATGGTACTTCTTTTAGAAATAGCCATGAGAATCGAACAACTGTGTACAAAAAGTAAATGTAACCCTACCTAGTTTTTTGCAATTACACAAAACCTTGATTTTTTTTAAAAAAAAACCCAGATGATTTAAAAACATTTCTAAAGCATAGCTCCAGTGAAACAGTTTAAATGAATTAAGCTGCAATCTGATGGAGTATAATTCCAGCAGAAATTAAGCTATGGGGATCAAAATGTTTTCTAAAACCAGCTGAACCAGTTTGTTGGTGAGGAGTAAAAGGGTGTTAGAACTTGACCTTATAAAACAAACTTATAAGAAACAAAGCATTTACCAAGTAAAGTTTGTAGCCTGTTGTAAGCACTGTTGGATTTGGGGTGGGACAAGTCACTTCTGAAGTATAGTAGACTTATTGAAGAAAAAAAAGTGAAGAAAAAGAAAAAGCAGACCAGGTAGCTATAATGCATTCCTCAATGAGTCACATGTAAAAAAACAAAACGAAAACCACCAACAGAGAACAGCATGCCTGAAAGTTTTCCTCCTTTAATATTCAGTGTTTAAACTCATGACATATATATTTAACATCTTTATTGGAGTATAATTGCTTTACAACGGTGTGTTAGTTTCTGCTGTATAACAAAGTGAATCAGCTATACGTATACTTATATCCGCATATCCCCTCCCTCTTGTGTCTCCCTCCCTATCCCACCCCTCTAGGTGATGACATATATTTTTAGGGCTGTTCCAAACAGAGCAAGCAAGGAGGCCTTATTCTTCTTCAGTTTTTTAAGAGGGATTTCTTACTGGTGAACTCATTTTGGACCAACAAGAGCTGGTGATCCTACAGTTTGTGGATTTTTTTTTTTTTTTTTTACTGAAGGCTTTAAGGTCAATTAAAGATTAGTGTGGAAGGAGCTCATGCTCAGAAATGAGCTCTGTTTAGCCTGTTAGCACAGACATATGATATTCCACAATACAGAAGAATGTCTCTGATGTGTCCAAATTAGAGTTTTGGCGAAACATTTAGCTGAGCACAGTTGGTGAGTCTTCCTCTGTTCTGATTTGAATGTTCTCCTGTTGTCATTTGGACTCCATGGTTGACTGGTCTATTTCTGTGTCCCTACATCAGCCCATGTTGGACCTTGTTCATGATATCAGTATGGACTGTAAAAGCTTTTGTCCTTCAGCTGCAAAGGCTCAAACTTTATTATTTTTATGTATTCATTTTACTTTTGTTAGCAGATTTTTTTCTGGCAGGTTTATTGAGATATAATTGACGTACAGCACTGTAATGTTTAAGGTGTACCACATACTGATTTGACTTACATCATGAAATGATCACAGTAAGTTGAGTGAACATCATCTCATATAGACACAAAATTAAAGAAATAGGGAAAAATAACATTTTTTCCTTGTGATGAGAACCCTTAGGATTTACTCTCTTTAGAAGGTGCATATATAACATACAGCAATGTTAATTATATTTCCCATGTAGTACATTACATCCCTAGTCCTTATTTACCTTGTAACTGAAAGTTTGTACCTTTTGACTGCGTTCATCCAAGACTCAAACTTTGAAATAGAGTTTTCCTAGAGCAGCTTACTTATATGTGGAGTCTGAAAAATACAAGCTCATAGAAACATTGTAGAATGGTAGTTGTCAAGGGCTGAGAGGCAGGAAAAATGAGGAAGATGTTGGTAAAAGGTACAAACTCCCAGCTGTAAGACAAATAAGTTCTGGGGAATCTAATGTATAGCATAATGACTATAGTCTATAATACTGTATTATATATTATATACTGAAAATTAGGAAGAAAATTAGAGTAGATCTTAAGTGTTCTCACCACACACAAAAAATGGGGATTATGAGAAGTGATAGATGTATTAACTAACTTTATTGTGATAATTTCACAATATATATGTCATATGATCACATTGTATACCTTAAACTTACACAATGTTATGTCAATTATATCTCAATAAAGCTGGAATAAAAAAGAGACAAAAATAAAATAGAGTTTTCTTTAACTGCATATTGACTGCTATAGCTATTTGATCTCATCACCCTTCTTCACATTCTTGCAAATACAGAAAATAACTGGGCGTAGCTCTTTCTCTTTCTGTGGGGATGTTATGTGGTGGCTGTAAAGAGCCAACCTTTCGGTTCCATTTTTTTAAATAAATTTAGTTATTTGTTTTTATTTTTGGCTGCATTGGGTCTTCGTTGCTGTACATGGGCTTTCTCTAGTTGCTGCGAGCGGGGGCTACTCTTCATTGTGGTGTGCAGGCTTCTCATGTTGGTGGCTTCTCTTGTTGTGGAGCACGGGCTCTAGGTGTGCGGGCTTCAGTAGTTGTGGCACGCGGGCTCAGCAGTTGTGGCACGCGGGCTCAGTAGTTGTGGCACACGGGCTTAGTTGCTCCGCAGCATGTGGGATCTTCCCGGAGCAGGGATCGAACCCGTGTCCCCTGCATTGGCAGGCAGATTCTTAACCACTGCCACCACCAGGGAAGCCCTCAGTTCCATTTTGATGAAAAGAAATTTATAAAACTTCTTGATTTAGGTAGGAGAAAGTGACTTCTTGGCTTCATGTCGATGTTTTATGGCTCATTTCTTTATCCCATAAAAAATTAACAGTGACATTATCTAGTATGTTCCAGGTACTGATAGGTGTTTGATATAGCGAACTGGTCCTGAAATAGCAGAAATTCAATAAACATTTGCTGAGATAATGAGTAATAACCACCTCTTTACAACTAGTGACAACCATCTGAATGAGTAGCTCTCAGCCTCCTTTTCAGCCTGAGTAGAGAATTAGGAGAAGATAGACAAGTTACTGGAGTTTACAACCATAGAAAATTATAGCAATACAATGAAACTTGGCTGTTTAAAATATCTTTAACCACTTATTTGTGGTTACATTATTTAGAATTCCTAACCACTAGTAATCAGTTCAGCAGACATGGGCCATTTATCAAGATGCCATTTGAAATCTTTGAATGCTTACCTTGAAAGTAATCACAAATACTATGAAACCATCTGTATTTCTACTCCACTTACTCAAAACCCATGCAGATTACACTTAGGAAGACTCACTTTTTTCTTTTTTTGAACAAATTAGTAGCATAACATTTGCATAGGAGAGGGAAGAGTTAGTAGAAGCTATTTCTAAGCTCCTGTAGTAAACAAAAGTAATAATTACAAGTGAATCTTATTTATTCATTAAAGAATTCCATGAATATTATCAGTTGATAGGTACCTGAATTGATAAATATATATATTCCTTAAATATATATTCCTTTATGTCTTTTTTTCTTTTCCAGTAAAAAAAAAAAAAGTGAAAGAGAGGATGAGAGAATGAAATTTGAGTGTAGAAGTAATTAATCTGTTCTGAACTTACAATGATAAGTAGGGCTACTTTTGCACTTCTAGGAAAATGTTTTTAACGTGGAGGAGTTGCAAAGAGATCAGTCTGAATTCTTGAAAAGTCAAAAGCATTTTCATAGCAAAATAGGAAGTGTTTGTTTCTTCAAGTGATTCTCTTGATTGAAAGATGTTCCCACCACCTCATTCTCCTTGCTGGCTCCTTTTTCCCTCCCCAAAAAGCTGTTTCCTAGTGACAGTGGACCCACTGTTGCCTACAGCTATAAAAGCAGCCTCTTATTAGCTAATCAGTTATTAGAATTGATCGATAAATAAGTGTTCTCTATAACCAGGAGGAGGAAATGAGATTCCATAGATTTCTCTCATTCCTCATTATATTTGTAAAGTAATTTGGGTTTGACTCCTGCCTGGATATAGTGTTGCTCATCTTGCATTTTTCTCACCTGACAGCCTTACAAGGACAGAAGCTTCCCATTCTCTCATCATGGTACTGATGCAGGGGATTCTGACTTAAGCTTGGGCTTCTTCTAATGACTGATTACTAGTTTTTCAGTCTCTCTTGCTTTCTCTCTCCTGTTTCAAAGAAGTCTTACTCAAGAAGTTGACCCCCCAGTTGAGCCTTAAATGATGGGTAGGAGATAACCAGGGAAAGGAGTGGGGGAAGTTGGGGGCTGGGCTGCATTATGACTTTTGTGGACCCTAAACGTTTTCGTCGTCTTCCATCAATTTCTCTCTTCTCCCCTCCCTCTTCCCCTCCCCCATCTTCTCTCTCTGTCTCCGTCTCTCTCTCTCTGTTTTAATGTGATGGTATAAAGATGAATATAATCCAGACTCATTACATTAACTTTTCTGATGTTAAATCAAATTAAATCATTTTCATGCTCCCCTAAATGTATTGCGGACCCTGTGTACCGTGGCCACTGTGTGTAAGGGATAGGTCAGCCCTGAGTGCAAAGAGCCACGAGGGCTTTTTTTTTTTTTTTTTTTGCGGTACGCGGGCCTCTCACTGCTGTGGCCTCTCCCGTTGTGGAGCACAGGCTCCGGACGCGCAGGCTCAGCGGCCATGGCTCACGGGCCCAGCAGCTCCACGGCACGTGGGATCTTCCCAGACCGGGGCACAAACCCGTGTCCCCTGCATCGGCAGGCGGACTCTCAACCACTGCGCCACCGGGGAAGCCCCCGAATGAACTTTTCATTCTCTTGGCTTCAAGCCTTTCATGGAATGGATGTGACACGTAAATAAATAGTTATCGACATACATTTATAACTAAATGTATAAATTTATATATAGTACAGATGAATAGTGATGACCCTCTCTCTCCCCGCCCTCCCTCTCTCTGCCTCTCTTTCTCAAGAGAGAAATCTTCCTTACATTGGCGGAAGGCTTTGGACAGGCACCAAGCCTACCAAGCCATACTGCGTTGAGAGATCTTCCTTGATCAGCTGTGAAAAGGGCTTTGACCAAGGAAGGGATTCAACCTGGTTTTTGGTATTTAGTTTGGAAACAGGTTCCCATTTTAGCTTAGTGAGTCCAGTGTAGTTGCTCTTAATTAACCAACAGGGAAGAATAGTAACATTTTAACAATTCAGATTGTTACGTATATGCCCTGAGGGCTCTGTTTTATCACTGAACTGTTGTTTAAGCTGTCATTACTTTTCTCTCCACTGCTTTTGTTTCTGCATTCCCCCACTTCCCTAATTAGTAACGGCTTGAGTCTGCTGTTTGCACTCAGGAAGGTCAAGGAAATGACAGCTTTTTTCGACAAACAAGAAGTGGGGGACATGGAGGGGCTTTTGTACCCAAGAGAGCTCCACAGGGTCCTGCTTAGTTTCGCTCCTTGCTTAACGTCAGAGTTTAATGGCACCAGCCAGGACTAGAAGCTGGTTGCCTTGATCGTCACAGACGTGGTTGTGGTTGGGGGCGTGGTTTGCAGTGGGGACAATAGGACCTTCCGAATAGCTGCGCTCCCAAGGCCCAGCCTGGAGTTCACTTCCGGCTTCTCCTTCCCTGTCTCTCCAACTCACAGGACGTTATCAGGAAGTTGAGGAACACGTAAGGCTTGCCCCCATCTGCTTCTGCTTTACCCCATTCACAACTCCAGGTTTTAGCCCGCTCCTTCTGCTGGGCTGTCACTCCACATAGCCGGCATCTCCAGCCAGCTCCAGGGCCCCTGCAGTCTCTGACCCTCCCACAGAGATCACCTCGACAGGTTGGGAAAACTGTAACTAAGACTATAGGAAATAGTCTTAGCACTATTAGGAAACAAGCTTAGCGCTATAGGAAAAGATACCCGTTTAAAGCTCCCCAGGGGCTAATTCTCCTTCCCGGGGAAGAAATGGGCTAATGGCATTTTAATGCTTTCTTGTTTTTCAAGAAATAATTTTGCTTCATTTAAACAACAGAGGAACTTGAAAACTTTGTCGGTTTGGTCACAGTGTTTGAAAGGTATATTAGAAACAGTTTTAGCTCTGGGCAGGAAAACATGTTTCGACAGTTCAGAACTGAGTCAGACCTGCATTTGGGTACACAGTGAACCTTTAGTTAAAAAAAATGATTCACTTTTCAGTGGCAAAAAGTAGAAATATTCCAATATTTTTTCCTTCTCATTTTTGCTTTTTTTTTAAAAAAGTTTTTTTTTTTTAAATTCGGCTGTGATTTTTCAATTAATTTATTTTATTTATTTTTGGCTGTGTTGGGTCTTCGTTTCTGTGTGAGGGCTTTCTCCAGTTGCGGCAAGCGGGGGTCACTCTTCATCGCAGTGCACAGGCCTCTCACTATCACGGCCTCTCTTGCAGAGCTCAGGCTCCAGACGCGCAGGCTCAGTAGTTGTGGCTCACGGGCCTAGTTGCTCCGCGGCATGTGGGATCTCCCCAGACCAGGGATTGAACCTGTGTCCCCTGCATTGGCAGGCAGATTCTCAACCACTGCGCCACCAGGGAAGCCCTCATGTTTGCTTTTATAAAATGAAAAGCTGGAACTTTAGGGACCCATAACAAATAATTAACTTCAGACTATTCAGAAATGTCATATTCCGAATAGATCTAGTGATGTCTTTGAGGGTAAATGTTGAATTTTAATTCATTGGGTGAAAATGAATTCTACTGATTGTTACTCTAAAGAAAATGTGTGCATGTGTAAAGAACATGAGATTTGGAACGGCAAGGCAAGGATTTTGGTCCTGGCTTTGCCACCTACTAGCCGTGTCCCCTCTGGGCAAACTCATTTATACTTTCTGGGTCTTAATAATGTTAACTGGGAACATTAATGTCTATTTCAAAGACTGGTGGAGATTTAATAACAGAATATATGTGGATTATATAAACTGTAGAACATTATAAAAATATTAGTTGATATTTATCTTTGCCCTCCCCCAAGCAGGAACAATTTGTGGTGTAAAAGTCTGTATTCTGAGTTTGACACTTCTCTAATTCTCAGTGAATTGGCTCAAAGGTTATTGAGAAAATAACACATCACCGCTAATTCATTTCCACTCATTAATTATTGAATCAGGCAATTTAATATTTTATGTCAACCTATAGTGTTGTTATAACCATCTGAGGATGATAAACTCAGAGGGTATTAGAACTATGGAGGCTTGCAGATATCTTGTTCAAAGCCCCCCCTTTATGGATGTGTAAATTGAGGCCCAGAGAGGGTAAGCAGTTGCTTGGAGTCACCAGCTTGCTGTTGGCTGAATGAGGGCACCGATGCTGAGGCCCCTGCCCGTCTGCCTCGCAACTCACCAGACCTGTGTCCACGGTGGTTTTAGAAAGGGGAAGAGGACAGCGGAGGCGGGTGTGGGTGTAGGACTGCACTTCCTTAGGGGCTGAATGGGATATCCTACCCTTCTCAGTGTTGCCGAAACCCGGCCTCTGTACATTGGCATCAATTTGAATCTCAAGAGTTTTGGGTGAAGTGGAAAAGAATAGCTTTATTGCAGGGCGCCAAGGAAGGAGGCCAGGGCAGCTGGTGCTTAAAAGACCTGAACTCCCCGAAAGCTTTCAGGGAAAGGTTTATAAAGACAGGGTGAGGGAGGGCAGTTGTGGGGTGTGTGATCAGCTCATGGACATTCTTCTGATTGGTTGGTGGTGAGGTCATCAGGAGTCAACACCATTAACGTTCTGGTTCCAACTGGTCTGGGGTCTGCGTGCTTGTGGGCAGCACACAGTTCACTTCTCCCACCTCGGGGGTGGGGAGTGGGGGTTCAGCATCTGCAAAACAGCTCAAAGGACATGGCTCAGAATATTATCTGTAGCCCTTGAGGAGGAACTAAAGGTCCTGACTTTGTTTAGTGGCTGAAGTATTATTATTTTGTCTTGCTCGACTGTTTTACTTTCTTTTTGCATTTTCTCATTTCTCTTATTAAGTTTATTCTTTGACTAAAGTTTTTCTGCAGGCAAAAGGCAGGCGGAGGACATGGGTGGGGGTGTTTTCTGGGAAGACCTCATAGGGTCCTGCTAGGTTACATCAGGTTCCCTGACACTTCCTGCCTACTTGTCTGTGTTTTGTTCTTAAACTCTCTGTAGGAGGTTTTCTGGGATGGAACTTGGTACCATAGAAAGAGAGCTCGCCCCCAACTAGCAGCTGATGCTAGGACAAGCCTTTTAAACTATTTACATGCGCAGAAACCCAGGATCCTCACCTGTGCTTTTCCATAGGCTTAAATGCAATAATTTATATAAAGCATATGGGATAATATCCGATAATGGTTGATTCCAACATTGTTTAGTTGACTGAAGGCTTTCAACTTTCTCTGAGTCTCCTATGGAGAAATGACTTGCCCTTAAAATAAAGGTTTGCTTTTGTAGCTGAAAGTGAAAATGTTAAGTATTCTCAAAGGCAATGGAGAGGGGAAGGACCTTAGTGGTTTCCTTGTTAAATTCTTACCATGGCTGGTCACGTCGATGCTGACAAAGGTCAGACGGACAGGCAGCGGCCCCCGAGCTGTGCTAGGCTGTCTCCCGATCTTGTGGAATCAGGAGGAGCCCCTGACATTCTGCTCCTGATTGAGGGAAATTTTCCATTGGTCTGTGTGGCATTTTAGCAGGCAGGTGAGTTCCTTAAGTGCTTGCTGACAGTCCTTTGATAACAGAGACAAGGTCGTCATTGTATTGTGAAGGTCACTGAAAGAGAATTTCTGAAAGGTGTCCCAAAACATCTTGTTTTTATGGCTAATGGGCCCCATTCAGGGTTTCTTCCAGATGATTGATGACCTTCAGTAGCTCTGCCTCTCTTCATTCTGATGCTGACAGAAAGGAAGTGTCTTAGAGCCAGATGTGGCCACTAATGCAGTGTGACTTTGTTCTTATTCTTTGAAAGGAGAAAAAATGCTGTGAAAAACAGGCCCAGCATTTGGAGGGTTTGACTCTTAGGTTGGATTCTTGTCAGCTGTGAGATCGTAGTATAGGTCTATTATTTGATATCTTTGAGATTCATTTTTCTTTCCTCTTAACTTGCGGTAATTATACAGTTTGGGGTGATAGCCTCGAGTCGGTCTGGTTCAAGTCCTGCCCACAAGCCATACAGCTGGAGTTTTGAGGCAGGCAACTCAGTTTGATGAGTCATTGTTTATCCATAAAGGTACATCACAGTACTGTTAGGGAGGATCAGATGAGATCATGTAATTAAATGGCATTAAATAGATGCATCAATAAGTGTCAGTTTTTCCCCTCTATTAAATAGTGATATAGCAGATGGTTAAAATAAGTGGTGAGTGAGAGCATAGCACACAACAATAAGTAGAGAGTACCATTTTGATAAATTACTATCTTTTCAGAAGACAGGAAAAACAAAGTTTCTATTCTTAGTGTAACCAGCTGCTTTACCAAAGGGTTTCCCTGGAGGTGATCAACATTTTAGTTGCCTTTCTGTGGCAGCAAAACGCTTTTCTTCTTAGTATGAGCCAGAGTGGAGAGTCACCCTGAAATTCCTAAGGATACTTTCTTAGAATAACAAATCATCTTCGCATTATTGAGTGTAGGCGCCGTGACAAAGTTGGATGGAGAAAAAATATCTTTAATTTTCCAGGAATAGGATTTAATGAGGCTTTTCTTATTTTTTTTTAGAAAATTCATAAAGAAGGTGACCCAGTGTTTTTGGAGAGTTGATAATGGGGTGGGGGAGGCATAGTAAGTCTAGATTCTTTATTTGAGGCTTCTGGGCTGCTTTCCTTCTCAGACACGTATGCTAAGATTGCTAAGTGCTATCAGCTGAATCCCACGTTCAGAAAAGTGGAGTCATTCTTTCGTCATGAACCTGGGATTCAACAAGCAGAAATATCATTATTAGAGTAGATGAACATCACCAATCAGATTGTGTAGGGTAAACTTCAGTAAAGATATGGTGTGACCGTAGGAATCTATGACAATAACAGACTAGTTGGAGTCCAGTTTATTCCGTGCTTGGCATTAACAGAGGATTCAGCTCTGGGTGAAGCATGAAACTGGGGTTCTTGAATAATTTAAGGGATGGGGTACACATATTAATATTTAGAGTGGAGTACTGGATTTCCTGCTAATAAGGAAATGGGGTTCCAGTGATTTGTAGGGAAAAATAAAAATACCATGACTTCATTTGTATTCTCAGCTTGTGGAGACTATTACATTGGTTATGTTAGGCTCTATTCTTTTATATTTCTGTTTTCAGTGACATGTCTCATTTCCAGTATACTACTTATCCTCCATCCAAACTTTGAAAATTATACATTGCCTTGCAAATGGACCAGGTACCTCATGCTGTGTTAAGAGAGCCTGTCATGCAGAATGTCCCTACAGAGCAGCGGTGGGAGAACTGTGAGGGAGACAGGTGTTCATTTTGAAGACTGCGCATGTGAGTTACTATCATTAGGAAGAAGGAAAGTGAAAATAAGACGAAACTCCTTTCCGCTGACATTGATCTGACCTTCACTTGGGTGTCCTGAGCACAATTTTCTAAGCAATATGGTGTTTATTATATTAAACAAATTACAAAAATAATACCTTTCACTATAATTGAGACTGATTCTGCTTTCATTCTCTTTGTAATTGTGGTACTTTATTTATATATTTAAAATTATGAAAAAAAAATTAAGTGTACCCTGAAATCAGAGAATACTCAATTTACTTTATTATACTTTGATTAATTCAATTCTGAGTTGCTTTACTAATTATTTGAACTTGTAAGTAGAGAAAAAGTTTCACATTCAGAAAAAATGGATTTTCTCCCAATTTTGGAGTAATTGTTTGCTTGAGTTGGCATGGGGTAAATTGCTGTAAGCCTTTGAAGTAAATCTTCAGAGTGATGAGTAGAGTTTTGCTTGTCAGTTCTCTCCAAAAATTAAATAAATAAATAAAAGTGAAATAAGTAGTTGGAGAATGGACATGAAGTGAAGGAAGATTCTTCCCAATAAAGATGCTTTGGATTTAGGGATTTGGTACATACTGGTCTGGCCATATAACTATTTTGAACTGGAACGTAAACAAGAGTTTTATTTTTTTAACCGTAATTTTGTGTGATTAACTCTTTTTCAAGTCATGACTGAGTTATCTGATGGGGAAGATTTCTTTTTAATCGACTGTTTTTTAAAGCAGTTTTAATAAGTTCCCAGCAAAATTGAGTAAAAGGTACAGAGATTTCTCGTATACCTCCTGTCCCTACAAACGCACAGGCTCGCCCATCATCAGTATCCCCCATCAGAGTAGTACCTTTGATGAAACTACATGACACATCCTAATCAACCAGATTTCCTAGTTTACATCAGGGCTCACTATTGCTTTTGTACATTCTGTGGGTTGGACAAATAATATAACATTTATTCACCATTATAATATCATACAAGGTAATTTCACTGCCCTAAAAGTCCTCAGTGTTCCACCTGTACATTCCTCTCCCCACTCCGCCCTCCTCCAACCTCTGACAATCTCTGATCCTTTTATTGTCTCTGTTTTGTTTTGTTTTCCAGAAGGTCATATAGTTGGAATGATACAGTATCCTTTTCGGATTGGCTTCTTTCACTTAGTAATAAGCATCTAAGTTTCCTCCGTGTTTTTTCATAGCTTGATTGTTCATTTCTTTTGAGTATCAAATAATACTTCATTGTCTGGTGTATCACAGTTTATCCATTAAATGACTGAAAGACACCTTGGTTGCTTCCAAGTTTTGGCAATTATGAATAAAGCTGCTATAAACATTAGTGTGCAGGTTTTTGGTGGACTTAAGTTTTCAATCCATTTGGGTAAATACCAGGGAGACCAATTGTTGGACTGTATGGTAAGAGTATGTTTAGTTTTGTAAAAAAACTGAAAAACTGTCTTCCAAAGTGGCTGTACCATTTTGCATTCCCACCAGCAATGAGAGAGGGTTCCTGCTGCTGCAGGTCTTTGCCCACATTTGACATTGTCAGTGTTTCAGATTTTGGCCGTTTTAATAGGTATGTAGTGCGATCTCATTGTTTTAATTTGCATTTCCCTGATGACAAATGATATGGGGCATCTTTTTATATGCTTATTGGTCATCTGTGTGTCTTTTCTAATGAGGTGTTTGTTAAGATCATTGGACCGTTTTTAATTGGGCTGTTTGCTTTCATATTGTTGAGTTTTAAGAGGTCTTTGTGTAATTTAGACAGCAGTTTTTATCAGATGTCTTTTGGAAATATTTTCTCCCTGTCCTGTGGCTTGTCTTCTCATTCTTTTGACAGTACTTTTGCATTGCAGAAGATTTTAATTTCAGGGAAGTCCATATTATCAATCATTTTCTTCCTGGATTATGCCTTTTGTGTTGTATCTAAAAAGTCATTTTCATATCCAAGATTTTCTCTAGTGTTGTATTCTAGGAGTTTTATAGTTTTATGTTTTTTGTTTAGGTCTGTGATCCATTTTGAGTTAATTTTTATGAAGGGTATAAAGTTCTGTCTTTAGATTTTTTTTTTTGCACGTGGATGTCAACTTGTTCCAGCACCACTTATTGAAAAGATTATCTTGCTGTATTGTATTGCCTCTGCTCCTTTGTCAGAGATCAGCTAACTGTATTTATGTATGTCTATTTCTGAACTCTCTATTCTGTTCCATTAATTTGTCTATTCTTTCACCAATACCACACTCTTGATTGTTGTAGCTTTGAAATAGGCTTGAAATGGGGTAGTGTCAGTCCTTCAACTTTGTTCTTCAATATTGTGCTGGCTATTCTGTTTTGTTTTTGTTTTTTGAGGGTTTTTTTTGTGTGTGTGTGCTTACATATAAACTTTAGAGTCAGTTTGTCAATATCCACAAAATAACTTACTGAGTTTTTGACTGGGTTTGTGTTGAGTCTATAGATTAAGTTAGAAAAAAAAAAATACTATCTTGAGCATATTGTCTTCCTATCCATGAAAATGGAACATCTCTCCATTCATTCAGTTCTTCTTTGATTCCTTTAATCAGAGACTTGTAGTTTACTTCAAATATTTGTGGTACATATTTTGTTATGTTTGGGTTTACCTAAATATTTCATTTTTTGGTGTGTTAATGTAAATGGTATTGTGTTTTTAATTTCAAATTCCACTTGCTCATTGCTGGTGTACAGGAAAGCAATTAACTTTCGTATACTAACCTTGTATCCTGCAACCCTTTTATAATTGCTTATTTCAGGAGGGTTTTTTTTGCTGATTCTTTTGGATTTTCTATATAGAGTCATGCCGTTTGTGAACAAAGACAGTTTTGTTTCTTCCTACCCAGTCTGTGTACCTCTCATTTCCTTTCCTTGTCTCATTGTATTAGCTAGGACATTTGGTATAATGTTGAAAAAGAGTGGTGAGAAGAGACATTCTTTCCTTGTTCCTTATCTTAGTGGGAAACCTTGTTTCTCACCATTAAGTGTGATTTGGCTGTAGGTTTTCTATAGATTTTCTTTTCAAGTTGATGATGGGGAGGACTTTTAATGTAATTTTTTAAATATGCTAAGTTAGATAAAGTATTAGTGTTCTATTTTAAATCTATAAAGATTTTTTCTCTTATAATGAAAGAAATAGGTGCTTATTATACCACTTTACAACAATAGAAAGACTTAAAAGGAAAATCCCCATAAATCATACCTAATTTTTGGATCCAGAATGTTTTCTGTTGATGTTCATGTATGCATGTCTATTGGATTATCCATTCACCCACTCACCCATCAATTCATCCATCCATCATCTTTAAAGTGTCTGGTTCTCCCTCTCTTCTTTATAAAAGCGTGCCTCTCTTTCATTGGAATAAACTAATGTTATGATTTTGCTATCTCTCTCGAGCTCTTCGTATTTGCTTCCATTTTTGGAACAGTTCTTCATTCTCTTTTCAGCTCCATGAGGTGCTACCCTTCCCTTCTGCCAGTTACTGCCTTAAGCTAGTCACCCTGAGCGTGACCTCAATCCCATGGAGCTATCAGGTTGATGGGATAGAGGAATCTTACTTTCCCTTTCCCCTCCGTCCTTGCAGTCTTCCCCAAGACTGCTAAACTAGACTACAGCTACATATATTATTGATTTTTCTACTCAGGTACTAACATGAAATAAAATTTTTCAGAAAGATTTGTGAATATATTCTTCTGAGGTTTTACATGTCTTTAAATTTTTTTTCCTTAATAATAATAATTTAGTGTACA